ATACATTATAGAAATATTACCAGGATACACACTGAGAGGTAGTTAAACTATAGCCCATTGCGAATTTAATTTATGAATGTAAGTAATTAATTACAAGTAATAAATATTTTTCAGATTCTAATTAATCCACAAAATTTAAAATTTTAACAGATCCTAAATTGTACTTACCAAAAATACGTTGTCAGACAGACCGACGGACTGATTTGCATAAATCAATGCTGGAAGTGACTTCTGTTATCTTTAAAATTAACTATGATTCAAGTAAGATTTTTTCCTGGAGACTAGCTGAAACTGTAAACAACAACTTTTTGTAAAATATCAGCATTAAAATACTGTAGGTTAAGTTAGTTTATGGTATGTTTGAGCACCTATCATTTAGCAGCCGCTTTCATTCGGGGACGATTAGTTCTTTGTGCTCATATTGGATGTGTGGGAGCTAATCCTTCAGTGACATGTTATGATCCCTACAGTGACTTTTCATAGTGACAACAATGATAATTTTCTTTGGCGAGAAATCTCCGGCCAGATAGATTTTGCAGTTCTGCACCCAGGCTCATCAGATCCTAATGAATCTCCCCTCAATCGAACGACAATGATCCCACCTTGAACGAGTTCATCAATTATTTCAGAGGAAGAGGAAAACCGCACGGCTGCGACAAGAGGATTGATAATAAAGCTGAAAAATTAAAAAAAGGTGCAAAGATATTTAAAATATCATTGGATGCAGTGGCACAAGGGTATTTAATGAAATAGCAGATAAGTAAAAGCTCGAACAACGTGGCCGTAGACGTAGCGCTAAAAAATTGAGGGGGTAAGTGCCTAGTACGGTACAGGCTCCAGACCGTATGTTCGAATTCCTCCAAACTAAGAATACCAACCTCAATGCACAGGCAAAACACTAAAACATGGAGGATTGAGTATAATAGTTTGGGTCTCTTGTTCATATTATGGCGTAGGACCAATCCATATGATTAAAGGAATAATGGATAGAACAGTGTATGATAATAAAAATAATAAAAAGAAATGAAACTAGTTATTTCCGCAATTTAGTTAGAAAAAATTAGATGTTTTTAAACAATTTTACAGTTCAGTACAATTCAACTACACTACTATTTTAAAGAAGTAGTGGTGGTATGTCGCATATATAAAAGTATTTAGAAGGTTTTAGTCAAATTTCCCATATATATTCCGGATTTTTCGAGGATATAAATTATACACAGAAAATTTTCAATGTTCTGTATGTTAATGGTCCAGCAACACTTAATTTATATAATATTGCCGAGGCGGCTATAATTTGGCGGAATGTTTTTAATAATAATTCATTACTTGACATATCCCCCGTACAAAGATCCCCAATTTTAAGTAATATGATAAATTAAGAAGATGGAGAATATCGATCCACTCCCACTGGTTTCTCCCACCCAAAATGGTCTAAATTTTTCTAAGTTGTCGGTCCACTTCTTTTGGTACCACATATGTTCAAAATTTAAAACCTACATACAAACCTAGAACGAGTTCTAAAGTGAGCCCTATCGGTCCGCCCTTTTTGCTATTGTCACTATTTTTATACTCTTCACCACACTGTGGTACAGAGTATTATGTCTTTGTGCATATGTTTGAACAGGCAAAAGGAAACGAGATAGACACATGGTTCCTTTTGAGAATATGCATAGAATCACTTTCTGAGTCGATTTACGCATGTCCGCCCGTCCGTCCATGTATTTTTGTGCATATTTGTACTGGTCGCATTTATGATCCGATTTCGAAGAAATTTGGCATAGGTCTCTTATTTGTCCCAAGGACGAACCCTATTGAAATTGGGAAAAATCGGTTCAGATTTAGATATAGCTCCCATATATATTTTCGTCCGATTTAATGTAAATGGTCCACCAAAGTCCCTGTATATCTTTCGATTTGCACGAAATTTAGCATATCGTATTCAATTAAGTCTAAGTCGATTTGCACGAAATTTGGCACAACTTAATGAATTAGGCCTAGAATGATGTGTGCTGAGTTTGATTAAAATTGGTTCAGATATAGATATAGCTCCCATATATAGATTCGTCCGATTTAATGTAAATGGCGCACCAAAGTCCCTATATATCTTTCGATTTGCACGAAATTTGACATAACGTATTCAATTAAGTCTAGAATGATGTGTGCTAAGTTTCATGAAAATCGGTTCAGATTTAGATATAGCTCCCATATATATTGTCGTCCAATTTAAGGTAAATGGTGTACCAAAGTCCCTATATATCTTTCGATTTGCACGAAATTTAGCACAGCGTAATGAATGAAGTATAGAATGATGTGTGTTAAGTTTCCTGAAAATCGGTTCAGATTTAGATATAGCTCCCATATATATTTTCGTCCGATTTTATGTAAATGGCGCGCCAAAGTCCCTATATATCTTTGGATTTGCACGAAATTTGACATATCGTATTCAATTAAGTCTAGAATGATGTGTGCTAAGTTTCATGAAAATCGGTTCAGATTTAGATATAGCTCCCATATATATTGTCGTCCAATTTAAGGTAAATGGTGTACCAAAGTCCCTTAATATCTTTCGATTTGCACGAAATTTAGCACAGCGTAATGAATTAGGTCTAGAATCATGTGTGTTAAATTTCCTGAAAACGTTGAAATCGGTTGAGATTTAGATATAGCTTCTATATCTGACCAAATAAAAAAATTAGTATAGGTTGCAGAATGACATGTTTATGGATCCAATTTCATTTTGATGGCCCTTTTAAAATGCGACGTCTGTTAGGATTCATCTGTTGAATATACCCAAAGTGGTGAAGGGTATCATATAGTCGGCCCCGTCCGACTTTACTACTTTCTTTACTGGTTTTTTCTACTCTCGACCACAACACCTCGAAATAATCATCTGAGACCCCATAAATATATATGTATGTGTATATTCTTGATCAAATTAAAATTCTATGTCGATTTAGACATTTCCGAACGTCTGTCTGTTCAAAAAACGATAGAACTTCACATCCAATGTAACTACTCCTAGGAAAATAACTATGGAATATTCGGTATAATATCATCCTACTGAAAATTATCAAATTGTTCCGTGTTTCCAAATTTCGCTATTTGTGAGAATTAATGCATCAAATTCAACCAAATTGGCTTCAATTTGATATTTTGGATTTGCATTGAGTAAAATTGAAAATCTCCCTACCAAAAAGTATCAATATTTGTCCAAGTTTCGTTGTTGTCCCCATGGAGCGGTACCCTCCATTATTCGGCAGTTTACTGACTTTGGACACGGGTTTTAACCTAATCTGCTGTTATTTGGTATTTTAAATTCTCTCTGGGTGCAATAATTATATATAGATCCAATTTCCAGGTTGCCCCATATAACGATACCTTCAAAATTGGCGACTTTAGGCAAGTTTTTTAACCTATTTGGTCTTCAAAATTTTCCTTAAGTCTTTCACTTTTTAGAATAAACTAATAATCGACTAAAAAGTTGATCTTTTTTATATGAATTTTAGTCAACAGACAAAATAAATTTCTGGGATGTGAAATTTTTGAGCTTAGTGATAATAAACCAAGTATTTATGGAAAAATCGGTCTTGAAAGGTCGACTTTGCGATATTTTGCACACAATACAAAAAGTCGAAAGCAGATTAACTTATACCTAGAGTGAAATCTTTCTACCAAAAATTTACCATGACGTAGCCCGCCCTATATATGTAAAGGTACCGAACGATTACAGATATTATTTTAAATGTCCTCCTCATGGTAAATGATATAACAAAATCAGCCTGGCTGAATTTAACGCCGTTTTAATATTGTACGAATTTCCAAACAATTCCAAATCCAAACACACACATATGAAAAAGTTTATAAAATTCTGTAAAATCTATTTAAATTGGCAACAATTCGTACTGTAAACCTAAAATTGGGAAATTCAAAAATTCCAAGATGTGATAATTACTTGTCCCTCTCAAATTGGACTTGGTTCATAAATACCGTTACATATCACAAATTTCCCGTGATAATTTTCCGTTCTCATACTTTATCGCTCGTGTATAGTACACATAAGCGTTTTTAATAAAAAATTATTATAAATATTCCAAACGAATCGAGTGTTATTCACAAAACTTTTCCCTAATTAGTTGACCGGCACTGAATATGCCCCTATATTAAATGATCATGTATAAGGCTTAATTTGGATTCTAATCTGTAGATTCATAATTCCGAAAAAAAATATCAAGACGATTTAATTTCAGCACAGAGTTCTCATATTACAAAATCCTATAGTATTTCCAATAAGTCTACTTATTCCTACCACATGATCAAACACACCAAATGAACTATGTACAATTGTAATATACAATTACAGAATTTTTAAATAAGACCTAACCCAGTATATATGTCCATGTACATACATAGAAACACACGTCACCAAAACATAAACAACATCATGTAAGTCTTCCAGAACCCCCAGTAGTCAACATATGCGTTTACTATGGTGCCGTGTAATTTTATCAAATCAGATATGACCAACAGATTAAGATTAATCACATGTAAATACATACGTACATACATACATACATACGTATGTTACCTTTTGTATGTACTTAGTTTTAACTGTTTAGTTCTTTACTAAAATCGTACACCCTATTCAACCCATTGTGCGTACAGATACAATTCAATTGATTCGGTTTGTTTGGCTACGTGTGTATTGGTACGTTCGTTCGTTCAGTCTCTTAACGTTTTCTTCGCTGATGAGGAGGTTCGGTGCACACCGCACTACTCAGCTTAAAAAACAACATCGACTGTGTGCACACGAAACCGTTTGACGCTGTGGTGCGGAGAGCAGCATATTCAAGAAGAAGACAATTGACTCAACGAAAAGTACCGAATTTCATATCTATAAAACCGCATACACTGCACACACCGGTCATCAGTCGACTAACAGTCAGCTAAACATAACACACAACCAAAAAACTAAACAAAGTGATAAACTTTTGTGTCTTCTCTTTTTTCCTGCATTTTAATCTAAAAAATCAAAACAATCAACATGCCTTGCCCCTGTGGAACTGGTAAGTACCTCGCTCGCTCTCTCTAAAAACTTCTAATCGGTGATAAGGCAATGTAATGCCAAAAAATTGTGAACGTGAAAATAAAAATAATTTGTATCAATTGTTGTTAGTTTTTTTTCGGTTTTGATTTTTGGCAAAGTTTTCACTATTCCTTTTTGAAAGGGTAGTTTCGGTTGTGTGATTCGTTTGAGACATTTAATGAAAATCAAATAGAATTACGGGTTATTAAACTGAAATGCTTAAAAAATTAATTTCAGTTGCGTGATTCGTTTGAGATCTTTAGAAAATTTTAAAGAAATTTAAGGATATATAACCCAAATCCTTGAAGAAAAAAAGTTTTATAAATTGTACAAATTATTAAAAAGACTAATTACAACCTAAATGCTTACTTTGCGATCACCGTATTATAAGTTTACAATGACAAAAAATTATTATACAGTTTTAAATATTCGTAGTATTATTTTTTTAATTTATGATTATCACCTTCTAACCCTGTATTTCCTTTCTTTTTCTCCCTTCCCAAAATGCAGGTTGCAAATGCGCTTCTCAAACCCAATCTACCGGTAGCTGCGGTTGCGGTTCATCCTGCAAATGCGGCAGCAGCTGTGACAAGGGTAGCTGCGGCAAGTAAATGAGTCTCTGCGAACTGAGATCTTGATATTCTCCTTTCCAGCTCAACATTATTCATCTGCAATGCTTCCATAAATGTTTCTCATGCCTGAGATCGAATTATATACTACATATACCATTTGTAAATTAGTTTTAAATACGCATTTCTAAATTTTGTCCTTTTACTACTATTTAAAAAACATTATTTTTATAAAATAAAAAAATATGAAAAAACTATAAATAATGTGTTGTTTGTTTTTGTAATTGGTGTGTTTAAAATTGTTAGGTACCACAGACAACAAAATACAGACAGACATTAATATATAAAAAATAAAAATTGCTTATGTTTTGATCACAAGCAAATTAAAAGAGTGAATGAACTTTGCTAGCTTTTGTAAGCAAATTAAACATGGCCATAATGAATACGGCACAGTGTTTTGAAATCAAAATGAAAACAAAAAGCTTAAAAATGTTTAGAAAACTGAAGTAATATATTTACAAACCACACAAATACGCTGGACTACAACATTGGCCTATATGATGTCTTGAACTATGAAAATTATTTTCTTAATTAATTATTTAATTTTATTAATATAATTTAAACCAGTGAGCGGAGCAGTATAATCGGACGGGGCCGAACATATGTTACGCTACACAACTTCCACGAAAATCTAACTTTATTTGGTTTTATATTCTGAGCTTGGGCAATATTTCGCGATATTGCACCCTATTGACCGACTAAAGGTAAAAAATATTACTATTATTTAAGTACAGCTCTTATAGGCCATACCTGGATCCTCATAGAAAATTTCAAAGTGATCAGCTCTATATTTTCACCCTCTAGTGTGGTAATGGTTTACTGAATAATATCTGAATGCGTAAGCACCTGTAAATGCTTAAGTGTAACTCCCACATCCGAGTACATACGACAATATAAATCGTATCAATTTAAAGGTCAACCACTCCTCTTGGATATACCATCGACTTCTCGGGTCTATACCCTTCGGGGGTAATAGGGTTCATTTGACCCGCTAAATATTGACCGATCTTTATCAAAACAGGCATGCTTATTCTTTGGCCCGATCCTCTTCTCCATGTAAAAATTCGCGATGTTCAGGCCATAATTGTGGACCCTTGGTCCATTTCATCCGATCTTTACCAAAAACAATAGGGGTCTTCATTGGCCAAAACCTACATGCAAAATATCGTGAAGAATGTTCCATAACTGTGGCGAGATATTATATAAAGCTGGGGACCAATATTTCGCAGCGTTACAAACTCTTGGGGCTGCAAAAAGTTATAATACCCGTCAACATAGTTGTGTAGGGTATAAAAAATTATTATTAATCTCATTTCATTAATAAAAATGTACTGTATTGACAAATTATTGAAGGTTACGTTTTCCATCTTAATATATAAAAGAGCTTTAGTGATAAATGGCTGAGTGACTGACAGACCATCGCTAAGACAACCAACTGTAGCTAAAAATTTTTGTGGGTTGTTGTTGGTGTGTAGGCGTGAGACAAGGTTGGGTTTTTGGAAACCCGAACTATAAAGGTACGAATAGTACTAAATATGGTACCCTTTGTCTTAGGGTAACGGGAAGAGCTAGAATTCTGAAATTTGGAATGTTGGTCCCTGATGTAATATTAAAAAGATGTACAGCAGGGTTTTTGGAATTTCGAGCTATAAGTATACGAAAAGTACTAAATTTAGTTCTAATTGTATACACATTGAACACATATAGCTAGAATCTTGTAATTTTATATGAAATACAGTTTCTTTGGATTTTTTTAGAAGTTCGTACTTATGTTTTTGAAAAGTACTAAACGGTACTAAATTTTATACTATTTGCTTTTAGTTGAGCGTATAGAGATGGAATCCTGAAAATAGGAATTAGAATTACTATTGGAGAACAGTTTTGAGGTAGCTTTTAAAAATCGTACTTATGTGTACGAAAAGTACTAAATGACACTAAATTTAGTTCAAGTTGGATTTAGGTGAACACTGAGCTGGAGCCTTGAAATTGGGAATTAAAATGACTGTTGGAGTATACTTTAGGAAATTCGTACTTATTTGAGCGAACGGATAGAGATGAAAACTTAAATTTGGAATTAAATTAGCATTGGAATTTTGTACTTATGGATACTAAAAACAATAAATGGTACTTAATATGGTACAATTTGTTTTGCGGGAATCCTAAAATTGTGAATTAAAGTTGCTGATGGAGTATAGGATTCAGGCATGAAGATAGTTTTAGAAATTCGTAATTATGTGTACTAAATGATACTACATTCGGTGCAATTTAGATTGTAGTGAACGAATAGGGATGTAAAACTTATATTTGGAATTAAAATTACTTTTAGAGTACATGATTAATGGTACAATTTGGTTTTACGTGAATGGATAGGGCTGGGATCCTGAAATTTTTTTGATTAAAATTACGGTTGTAGTGAATAACAGAGGATGTTTTGGAAAATCGTACTTGCGTCTACGAAAAATAATAAATGAAAAAATTTTGAAAAATTAGGATGTCTTTGAACGGATAGTCCTGGAATCCTTAAATGTGGACTTAATATTATTATCGGTGTGCATGACTGAGGTAGTATTGGAAATTCGTACTTGTTAGTACGAAAAGTACTAAATTTACTATTGGAATTTGGAATTTGGTAAACGGGAATCATAAAAATAGCAACTAAGCTTACGATTTGACTCTAGGGTTGAGGTAGTTTTGGAATATGGGTACGAAAATTTGGACTTACAATTACTATTTGAAGGCAGAACTGAAGTAATTATGAAAATACGTTCTTATGAGTACGAAAAGTACTAAATTTGACATAATTTATGATTACTGTTAGTGTGTAGGATTGGTGTAGTTTTAGAAATTCTTACTTGTGAGTATGAAAAGTACGAAATGGTATTGAATTTGACACAATTTGGTTTTAAGTGAATATATAGAGCTGGAATCCAAAGATTTGGAATTTATATTACTGTTGAAATGTAGGATTGAACTATGAACTAGCATATTCGCAAATTCGAATTAATGTGCACGAATAGTATGTAGGTACTAACTAGTACTAAATTTAAGGAAATTGGAAAAACAATTAATATGTGGAATTAGTCTTGAAAATGTGCACCTTTTGTGTTTGAAATGTGTTAAATTGAATAGAACGGAATTATAGTATAACGAATTATATGGTATTCACGATTCCCATATAAAATCTTTTTTATGGGAATCGTGAATAGTATTTTATAAAGTATTTTATATATTCCTGATGTGTCTCCCAAAGTTTTTTTAAATACACTGATTAATGACTTCTTCCAAATTTGAAGTAAACTCTCAAGTTTCATCGAATTTGGCTTAATATTAATATAAAAATATTTATTGGTTGAATATTAACGATTATATAGGCCAAAAGACCCATTATATGGGAGGTATCCGAATCTATCCGATCCTATCTATCCATTTTTTGTCACTTGCTCCAATAATAAACTCTTGTACAAAATTTCATCACCTTACAATAAGTCTTTCTATTTTTGAAAGACTTACAAAGGGTCCCCTACAAAGGGTCACAATTTTGAAAAATTGTACATCACATACGAAGCGAAACTTTCCACAACGTTGTATTTTTAGCGGTCGGTCTACTCCGTCCCACAGTGTCAACATTTTTTGAATTTGTTAATCCAATATCAAGGGAATTGAATGTCCGCTGATGGTATATATGTAGATGTCGGCAACACCGATTGACACTTTTTTACTTGTTAGGATAGGATTCAGGGGCGGGGGGTTTTTTTCCTAACAACAATTTACCATGATATAGCCCTGTAAATATAAAAGTCCCGAACGATTACAGAAATTTAAAATGTCCTTCTCATGGTGGAGGTTATACAATTTTTGGCTTGAGTAAACTTAACGAAGTTGTTGTTTCAAAATTCTAGATCTAAGCTTTCCGAAAGCTTTTCGAAACATTATTATACACATTTCCAAATAATGTAAATCCAAGCACACATGTTGAAGAATATCCTCTTTAAGAAAAATTATGATTTTAATGTGTAAAGAGTTTTAATATTACAAAATCGTATAATATTTTCAAGAAGTCCTTAATTCCTACCACATAGGTTCAATGCTGACGGCCACAACAGCTCCAAAGAACCATGTAAAAAAGTAACATACTTACAAAACTTATCAATAAGGCCTGATCCAAAATATATATATGTACATGTATATAAGCACACGTCACCAAAACATAATCTACCAAAAATCATGTAAGTCTCCAGAACCCCTATTAGTCAACATATGCGTTTACTATGGTGCCGTGTAATTTTATCAAATCAGATATGACAAACAGATTAAGATTAGTCATATGTAAATACACATACGTATGTTACATTTTATATGTACTTAGTTTTAATTGTTTAGTTCTTCACTAACATTTTACACCCTATTCAACCCATTGTGCGTACATACATAACAGATACAATTCAATTGATTCGGTTTGTTTGGCTACGTGTGTATTGGTACGTTCGTTCAGTCAGTGCACACCGCACTTCTCAGCTTAAATAATAACATCGACTGTGTGCACACGAAACCGTTTGGCGCTGTGGTGCGGAGAGCAGTATTTTAAGAAGAAGAAAACAATTGACTCAACGAAAAGTACCGAATTTCATATCTATAAAACCGCATACACTGCACACACCGGTCATCAGTCGACTAACAGTCAGCTAAACATAACACACAACCAACAAACTAAACAAAGTGATAAACTTTTGTGTCTTCTCTTTTTTCCTGAGTGCATTTTAATCTAAAAAATCAAAACAATCAACATGCCTTGCCCCTGTGGAACTGGTAAGTACTAAAAAACAATTTGCTTGCTCGCTTGCTCTCTCTAAAATCTTCTAATCGGTGATAAGGCAAAATAGTGCCAAAAATTTGTGAACGTGAAAAGTAAAAATAATTTGTATCAATTGTGCCAATTATGTTTAGTTTTTTTGATTTTTTTTGTTTTTTGCAAAGGGTTTACCA